CAAAAGGATTTTCGTGTACGCAACTTGAGTTTAGGCAAGCATGATAAACACATATTTACCCTACGCATAGACACATACAGAGATCTCAAAAAATATAAATAGGAATCTTGTCACTTGGGTTTTCTTGTTGCTTATCAGCTGAGAAAAGGCTGCTGCGTAATAAAAAACCGTCAGAAGGGGGAATGTATAAGGTAGAGGGGAAGAGAAGGACAGGGCAAATGGGCTTACAAAAGGATTTGCATGTTGACAGATTTAGCATCGCGAAAAAATACTCGCGAAAGATGTTTAGAGATATACATACATATATTTGTATATTATATATGCATGTACATTAGTATATTGCATTAAATATCTCGTTTACTTTAACTTTTCGCCTTTTGTTTTTTGCCTTTAAGTTTGATTTTTTATCAAGCATTCTGTCTCTTTTTCTTGTTACATAGTCGAAAATGTAATATAATCAATACAATTGATGACCATATAAGAGCATTAAAAATCGAAATTTCTTACATTCTTTCTGATTTGAATTGTGAGCAATATTCCATCTATTACGTTTAGATCATTATCATTCAAATGAAAGCGTAAGCTCTGCTGGCAGTGCTTCGAGCTTAAGGTCCAAATTTGAATATGTCTGTCTCGCATATTGGCTTTGAGCTCATTCCAAAAGCAAAGCGAAATCTGAACATTTGACATAGCCCCAGAGAAAATGCAAAAATGCAAAATTCCAGGCTTACAAATCGACAGTGGAGCCCTTGCTTAACTGTTGCAAAACCTACTGCTTTTCAAAATGTTAAATGAAAGGGAATTCATAGAAATGTCACATAAATCTATGTTCTGGGTTTTACGTGTAAAGCCTTCAATAAATGAGATGTGGTTTTCGTGAGAGAAAAACACTACAATATTATTTTTAGTGAACGACTAAAAACATTTATTATTTTATTATTTTTTACAAACAACCGAAAATATTTTTATATATATCAAAAAAAAAATAGATTAAATTTTTATAAAAATAAGTATTCGATTTCAAAGGAAACCACATATATGTAGAAATGTTGTATAAATAACAGTAAAAATACAAATTATATCAACACAAATTTTTGTGAATTGCCACAGCTGCATGGCTTGTTTCACAATAACTGTAGCTGATTATTGCAAATTTTGGTTTTATTTGCTTCCAGCTAAAAATAATTTAAGATCAAATGGTAAATCATTGGGAATATTTCAATCATTAAGTCTCATTAAATAAAGGATGAAATATACTGCCGTTCTTCTTTGGTCAACTGAGACAGTCAATATTTTTCGGTACTTTATCTATATGCTTCGCTTAGTTATAATTCAACATTTTATTTCAACTTAAATTAGTTTCAACTGCAATCTGCTTATAGCAATATTCGCCATTCAACGTTTATAAACAAACAAGAATCTGCTTCATCTTAGTTTGCTCAACTAACGTTTTGCTTTAAGAAACTGCAAATAAAGCATGACATAATAAATGACTCACTCTCTCTGTCTCTTTCTTTCCCTCTCTCTCTCTTTCTCACTCACACACTCTGTTTGCAACGGAAACCCAGATTTAAAAACTTTGAGAAACTTTTGCTTATCCCAGTTTTACTTGTGGCAAAAGGAAAATCCAGCGTTTTTATGATGTCCGGTTATAAAAGCCACTCGCCGGAAGCTGTTGCTGTGTGTGTGGACACAAGAAAGCCCACTGCTCGCTGCTCGCTGCTCACTGCTCACTGCTCCAATGCAGCCAGAGGCTGAATTGCTGCTGCTCCAACTGCAAATGAAGTAACTCTATAAAAGATTTCAGATGGCAGACATCTGCCAACGCAGCAAATCAAACGTTCCCTGATTTAACCAAGGGAACGTCAGTTAATGTGTCAAGGTGACATTTGGCCTGGATACGAGTAACCATGCCCACTACCCACGACTCGATTGCTCCCTCCATGTTTTCGATTAAGCGTTCTTCCTGGCCGGAACCGGGCTAAGGCTTCCCGCCGCTCACTTTCTTAGGCAATCACATTAAGCGGGTGCTATTGCTGTTGTTGTTGTTGTTGTTGGTGTTGTTGTTGTTGCTGCCACTGCCAATGTTGCCGTCTGTCTGCTGGTGTTACTCTGTCATTTTCATAAAATATTCAAATACGTAAAATGAGCGGTGGGGCTAACAAGAGCAACAAAAAAATCAAGTTTCACGTTTTCAACTTAAAATTCGCTGACTGTGCGATACACTTGACGTCATTAAGATACATTGTTATTATTTTGTGTAATCCAATACGAGAATACATAGATTGAAATATTGGAATAGTATGGAAATCATTTCAAAATATAAGAATATTTACAGAAACTATGTATTATACCTACATATTTATAGTTCTTGGCAGAAATCAGAAATTGTTGGTATCAAATCTTATATGCAAGATAAAAATATTTATGTCAATAAAAAACAGAACATACCAAAAATTATAAGATATTAAAGAACTGCAGTCTTGACTTTTTTTTTTATTATTAATAAATGTTATATATAGCACACCACTTGAATGTCAGATTTTTATGAGAACATCACGCACCAAAATAGATGTTTAATTCAGGCATAGAATACAAATAGTCAATAGGACGCAAATAGAAGCTGGCATTTACATTAGGCATAGGGCCCAACACTTTCTCTTTCTATCTCTCTCTACCTGGCTGTGTCTTTCTCTCAACCGCCTCATATTTGTATATACCTATATATCGCAACTTGTATTTTTATCCCTCTTGCTTCCAACTCTGCATATCTTTCATTCTCTGAGACCTCTTCCTCTCAGCTTTCATTATCGCTCTCTCTCCCTCTTCTCAATCAATCCCTGTGGTTGCATCTCTTACTCTTTCTTTTTTTCTCTCTCTCTCTCTGTCACTAGTTTTCTCTCTCCAACAATATCTCTCTACTCCTTTTATCTCACACTGTCTTTCTCTTTGTCTGCCTGCCCCCCAGCATGTGTTGTCTCTCTCTCTCTCTCTCTCTTTCTTTCTCTGTTTCATTTGTCGCTCTGCGTTTCTATCTATCTCTATTATTATTGCTCTCTCTCTCTCTCTCTCTCTTTTCCCTCCTGCTATATCTAAATTTTTTGTTTAATAAGTGCTGAAAGTAAAGCGAAAATGCCCATTTTCATTGGGAAACTGAGTATAAGCAGCAGTAAAACTGTATATAAGTACATATATACAAATATATATATATGTATATGAATGTCGGCTGTGTGTAATGAAACAACTTAAACTCTGCAGCTGCCATTTACATTGTTGTTGTCGTTGCTGTCATTGTTGCTGGACATGTTGCTTCCACGCCATTTTGTCACCTCAATTCGCCTCCCTGGAGATGTATTCTGCTAATGTGCGTATTTTGTCCCTCTTTGTTGTTGATGTTTCCCCGGCTTGTTCATTTGAATATCTTAAAGGCAAGAAGTTTAGCTGGAATTGTAGAAGTGCATAATAATTAGAAATTTGTTAAAGCTTTGAGTAACATAAGTATGACATATACATAGTCATAGATATACATATGTATATATGAGCTCCATTTTATTAAATTTCTATATACATCCATTAAAGTCTTGAGCTCAAAGTGCTTGAGCTCGACCGTTATCCATGGCTGAGTAAAATTACTTGCAGCAAAACTTTATGCAATTATTTTCTTCCACAGAAAATATGCAAACGGTGCGCAAACTTTTTTCACATTTACCTCAGAGTATGCAATGCAGGCAGGTGCTAATTGGCAGCGTCACTAATTAATAAGACTCTGAGAGCATGAACCTTAAGCAAAGGCAAATGACTTTCCCAATTCACTCAATTCCCAATGCCACACAGCATAAAGTTTATGCAAATATTTAAATATACATACATATATGTGTATATACGTATATTGAAGAAAATATATATAAGAATTGCCTCACACGCAGAATGAAATGGAATAAAATTGATATGTTTACAGTTGTGGGTGGGCAGACAGAAAAAAATGGCTAGGAAACGGAAATCGCTTACGGGAACCTGCTGATGGAAACTGTCAGCCAAGTCTTTTGCGTCAGAAGCGCATTGATGGACGACCAAAAGGATGAAAAAAAAATTGCCCAGCTTGACAGAATTGTTTCAATCAATCATAAAAGGAATTGCGCAAATGCGAATGGACGAGCTACGATTTGAGCAAAAACAAATTGTACGAAATAAGAAAGAAAATCGAACTGTGATTACTCTGACCATAGGAAATTTATGTGGAATTGTGATAGAATTACTCATATTTGAAATTTGGAGATCTGTCAATTTACAGAATGTGGCAAGGAACTGCTTAAGTACATATACATATAAAAGTGCATACATATATGTGTCAACGGATACCGACATATTTTTTGCCTGCAACAAATAGAAAAAAATTACTATACTCGAAATACAGAGCCCATGGTAAAAAATCTATTAAAAAGCAAACCTTATTGACCATGTCAACTTACTGTTATCGATACGCATCGCATCTTAGTTGTTGGCAATTCGATGAATCCTTTTCTATAAAAACAAGCGTTCCTATTGCATATAGTCATCCGTTGAAGCAGGCTCAGACTTTGGATTTGGCTGCAACAAAAAGAGAACAATTTATTTATCGGAGGTAGGTTTAACCTCTGTAGTGTCAGTTCACATTTACATACATAGATGCTACAATTTATTTTTCTAGACTTTTCTATATGCATGAAAGATGAAGTATGCTCTGTAGGGTATACAAATACATATACGCCGACATAATTTGACAGACGGAGTCTCACAAATGAATCCTATCAAGGATTATATTGCAATTCCTAGCTTCTGGCAAGTATATGCAGAGTTAGACGCCCTCGAGAAGTTGAGTCTTACATTTCTCCATAATTGGGCAACCTTATTGGAGCCCATTTGAAATGGGTGTCTGTTTTGAGCATGGGATGGGTGGTGGGTGGGGGGAGTGGTACAAAAATAAAAAAAGAGTAGAAAATTGTTAAAGATGATTTTATCTCTTTGAATGCTATTGCAATTATTCGACTATCGAATGACGGATACAGAGCCAATGCTAAAATTGAGAACTATTGTGAAACATGAGTGTGTTAATTTGTCAGATGCTTGATTCAATTGATGATTGTGTACTAGCGATTCCACTGCTCCAAAAGCTTGACAGCCGTCTGTATGTTGCCAGCGGACATCAGCAGGGCGCAGATGTTGCGCTGTCGATCGGTGTGCCCCAAGGTGCTCAGGTGGCGCAGCTGCGATTGGTAGCGCTGCTCCCAGCGACTGTCGTTGCTGGACATAAAGTCGAAGAGATTGATGGACGCTGCTGCGGACGGTGCAGCACTAGCCGCAGTGGCTCGAGCCGGAGTAGCTCGAGTCGGAATAGCCACAGCCACTGCAGCTGGAGCTGGCTGTGGTTCGCCCTGCTTGGCGGTGTTGAGTCGCATTCGGGGGTTCAGTTCAATTTGTGCTGAGTCCGCCATCTCATTTAGTTGACGTGCAAGCTCGATCGTTTTGTTGATGTCGCCCAACTTTAGGGACTCCATCATGCGCTCACATTGCCGCGCTAGATCCTCCACCGTATATTCTTCATTGTCAGTAGTATTCGTTGGGATCGGTTCCGGCTTGGGCTCGACGCGCCAAGGATTGGGCAGCGGCATCCTATTTTCGCGTCCACGCTGTGGATAATCGCTGCAGATGGATGGCTCCGCCTCCAAGTAGTTCATGGCCACGTTGTCCTCGTGTGCCTGGCGCAAGAAACGGCTAAGCTTATTCATCAGGCTATAGCCACCCGGCACCCATTCCATGCGCATGATGTGCAGGTCGCGCTTGCGACCCAGCTCCTGCACCTTGGCCGGATTGAAGATGGTGGAGAAGAGATCACGCAAATTGCGATCACTGCTCATAAAGTGGCGAAACGTTGTATTCTCATCGATCAAGGCCTTGATGCGCGGATCCGCCTGCAGCAGATCGCGCAATAAGTTGATATCCTCTAGCAGCGGCTTCAATAGGTCGTTGGCTCTCGAAGTCCAGTTGCGGTTGTTCGCTGACGACGAGGTGTCAGCTGAAGTGTTTTTTTCGTTGTCGATGCCGTTGGCATTGCTGTCGTCGTGCTCGTCGGACGGCTCCTTAATTAGCTGGCGAAAGATCACATGAACCGTGACGCCCGAGATGATGCCGTGGCTATCGATGGTGCCCACGTCGCGCAGCACGTGTCCGCCAAAGACGAGCACCACGTAGTCGATGGCCTGCTCGAAGCGCACCGCCACCAGGGCACGCAGGTTGCTAATCAGCTCGTTCTGGCGCACCGAAATCAGCGCCGAGCCGCTGCCCGTCTTGGCGGTTATATCGATGGACTTGCAGCACATGACCTGGGCGAGTGAAGACTCCACGACAGAAAACAACAAAAAAAAAAAGTTAGTGAAAATCTAACGGCTGCAATCGTCTATTTCAATCTGTTGTGTTTGTATTATTATTGTATAAATGAATATGTTTTACTGTATGACAACTGGGACTCAGTTGTCGAATGCCAACAATATGTGAGAAGTGTTACGAGCAAACGCGTGCTGCGGCTACTTCTTTGCTTTTCCGGTCAGTCGACTCCGAAGACAGCTTTCAAATGATTCAGTACTTTCGCGAAGCTGCTGATGGACACTTGTCGTGCTTTTGTGAGTCACGACACGACACGATATGAAACGCAATTGACATGGAACGTGCTTGTCAGTGTTTATCAAGAAGTCTATTTAGAGAATACAAATTTAATATAATTTTTGAAAATATAAAACAACTTTTCAATGAATTTAATTTTTTTTTTTTTTACTAAACTTAGCTTGCCTTAAAGGTATATACTTGGCATATTTTTTTTTGTAAAAAGCAGTGCAGCTCGAACTGTATAGGGTTGCCAGGCTAATTTTTTTTTTAATGTAGCACGTGCTTTTTTTTTTTACTATTATATGTATTTCATTTTTTTTTTTCATTTGGAATGAATTTTTTTAATTTTACATTTTTTTGCATTGTTTTTTTTTTGGATTCTATGAAAGTTTTTTTCATAGGGAAATTGGACAGCTTCGTAACGAATACAGGAGCTAATTCATTTGGACTTAGAGAAACTGAATTGTGAGGGACCCGAGCGAATGCGATGTTGAGTGGCCGAAATTGTATACATATGTACATGCATAGATGTGTGCATATGTATGTGTGTATAGAAGTATGTACATATATACATATACTGAGAAAGTTTGTTCTAGAAGTCTCAGCTATGTATTAGTTGCATGGTTTGTGGCTCTAGGTATGTATGTACATGCACACATACATGTGTATGTATGTACATGTCATTTGAGACCATATAAGAGCTTAAATTTTCTCAAACTTGGGTATAAAAATTAGTGTACGCAATACAAATTCAGTTCAAAGTAATCTGAGTTTGGCCAACTTTTCATGTAACAAATGTTAAATTTTAAAATTAGTTTTTTGCATCTGTGCAATTCAAACTCTGTATGTTAACTATACAATTTTACAAAAACTGTCTCTAACATATATTAATTAGCCCAACAGTCCACATTCTGTTTCTTAAGTTATATATTATTAGTTTTACTTAAACAACTCGATTAGCTTTACATTTGGAATTTAAAATTGATTTAGCCAAAGTCGAAGCAACTTGTGTATTATGTAAAATTCTATCCATCCATCTATAACAACACACATTTTACTACTCTTTTAGGTGCGCCGCAATGACTTGCCACTGTCTAATAGCAATATTCTCAATAACGACAACAACAACCAGGACAACAGCAACAGCAATAAGAAGTCACTGGCTGAGCTCCGCTAGTCAGGCAAACCAAGTCTGAGGGCAGGACATGACAGCGAATCAATTGAATTCAATCAAATTGCCACAAACAACTGTCTACGGGCAGAGCGGGGAGCAGGTGAATGTGGTGGTGGCAACGCAGTCGTAAACACGCCAACACAAGCAACCGCCACAGCAACAACAACAACGACAACAACAACTAGAAAATCCGCCAGAAAGGCGAAACATTAATGTAGCTACAAAATGGGCGCCAATTCGTCGACCCGATCCGACCCAAATCTGCACCAGGATGATGACGGTGAGTAAACTATCAAACTATAATATTTTTATTAGCTGCAAACTTATATAGAAAGAGAACAAAAGAACGGCTTTTCATATACAAAATAATTGAACTTTTGATTGATATTGACTCGAGCTGTCATACGATAGTCTTCAGTTATGAGGAGCTGATGAAATAGGGAGTTAACTTCATGTCTAAGAGGTTAGTTTATATGGAAATGCCCAGACGGACAGAAGTAGAGGCTTTAAAGGTTTCAACAGACCCCCTGCCAATCAATAGCACTGTTCAACAAAGAAACATGTTCTTACATCAAGTAATTTGATGCTGAAAGCAATTTAAGATATTAAGAACGAAACTTTTGAGAAAATTCCAAGTACAAATTTTACCACTTTCAAACTGAATTTCATTGTTGCACAGTGTAATTTATATATGTACATATATGTACAATTAGTCGTTTCAGAGTCGCTTCTTCTCCGTTGGGTTTCACCTTTCATTTAAAAATTCTAATTGACTTGCCAATATGAAATGAGCTGAGCTCATCTGGCTAATAAAGCAGGGCCAAGGACGAGCCATTGGCTTGAGCTCTAAACAAACAGTCGGCAGCAGACGGCATAACTGAGTAGCTATGGCATAGAAATTCTAAATAATTATAGTATTTGCAGCATCGACTCTTAGCACGTGGCGCAGAGCTTTTGAAATTGGGAGACGGCCATGGAGCGTCTGGATGAGCTTTGCCTGCAGCTGATATTGCAGTATCTCCGACTGCCCGATCAGCTGGCCATGCTGCAGTGCGATGAGCGTTGCTATGCGCTGCTGGGCAGCCTCTGGCGTCGTCAGCTGACGCGGATCGAGCTGAATCTGCTGCAGGTGCCGATCTGCACATAGATCTTTGAGTTCCTTATCCTCAATAGCTGCCGCGAGCTGCGAGTGCTCAGGCTCAACTATGTGGACAAGGAGAAGTTTGAAGTGCTGGTCAGGCATAGGTTTCCCAAGCTCCAGATGCTCCAGATCGATGCGCTGCCTCCCTTTTTCCTCTGCCATCAGAAACAGCGTCAGCTAAAGGAAATAATACTCCTTGAGAAACATGAGGAGAGTGCCGTGAGCCCGGTTGAATCATGGACTGCAAATACAATAAACAAAATATCTTTAAAATAGCAAAAATTTTATTTTATGTAAGCAACAGAGTCTATTAATAAAATTGTATAAAACTTGGCCTATCTCAGATTGACAGATAAATTAAATGCCAGATTGACAAGCTGATTTATTATCAATTGATTGACTAAGTATCTGATTGATCGAATCATTGAATGATTGGTGATTGACGAATGAAAGGCTGACTGACTGAATAACTAACATAATGATTAACCCGCTTATTGACTGACTGACTGATTGACTGTGGGCCTGATGATCTCTAAGCACTCTTCAAATGTTTTCAATATTTCTGTTTATTGATAAGCTGATTGAAGGAGTTTACTGAAATATTACTTTGAATATTTTTAACAATATTCCAAACATGAAAATTCTATACAAATTCTATAATATAAATTTTTATAATACATGCAATTATAATTTTCAGTTAATTTTGATCATTTTCAAATACTTCGCGCCATTGGCAAGGGCAGCTTTGGCAAGGTAAGTCGACGCGCTGAATGCGGCTAAATGAATGTTGTAAATCTGCGTGTGCTTTACAGGTGTGCATTGTACAGAAGCGGGATAGCGGTGTCCTCTATGCCATGAAATATGTTAGCCGTTCAGTGTGCGAATCGCGCGGCGCTTTGGGCGGCGTGATTAAGGAGGTGGAGCTTTTATCCTCATTGGAACATCCATTTCTAGTGAATTTATGGTTCTCCTTTCAGGGTAAGTATGCACACACACGCACACACTTACGCAGTCACTCACACATCAACAGTCACATACAGTCACATAGTTACATATGCAAATGGCGAGGCTCACCTGTAGAGTGAGCTTCACCGCCGCTGATTGCCAATCAAAATGCAAATTAACTACTCGTATGTGCATTTCTTTTGATGTCAGAGCACTCACTTGTTCCACATATCTATCTTCTTGAACTTTTGACTCCTTACACACACACACATGCATATCTGTTATATATGTGTGTGCGCGCTGCTGCGGATCAACCAACACAGATGAGGAGGATTTATTCATGGTCTGCGACCTGTTGACGGGCGGTGATTTAAGATACCATTTACAGAACCGAGTAGGTTGTTACTATTGCTGCTGCTGCTGCTGCTGCTGCTGCTAAAATGAAACTTTACGATTCTCAACCAACATATGTATTTCGAATTATTCTTGAACATCCTGACAGGTGGAATTCTCTGAGCAGAGTGTGGCCTTATTAGTGTGCGAGCTGGGCAGTGCCCTGGAGTACCTACAAACACATCGTGTGATCCACAGGGACATTAAGCCCGATAATATTCTACTGGATGATGCAGGTAAGTTTAACAAATAAGCAAAACACAAACACATACTCACACACGCACACACACATTAACTCCTATAGTCAACAGCAAGTTGGCAAGCAGTTTTTTGGCCAAGTTCAACAAAGAGCCAAAAAGCATCCATAATTCATTACAATATGTCCTACGTTCGTGCTCAAAAATTTATTGATTTCATGTGCAAGGGAAAGTTTTGTGCCCAAGCGAATACTTGAGAGCAGCCTCAAATTATTCATATGCTATGCCTGCCTGTCCTGCCAGGCTAAGCAGCATTCATGCCGCCTCCCACCTTCCACCCTCCACCTTTCAACTGCTAACTGCCAGCTGCCACCTTCCATCTGACACTTGCCCCTTGGCTACTTAACATATCTTATTTATTTAGCTGGAACGTATTTACATTTAAATTTATGACCAGACAAATTAATGTATTTTTTGTTTTGATAAGGAATAAAGCGTGTTATATGTGTTATGAGATTAATTCTTATAGTACATTAAAGCTGTAATATATAATTTAATAAATTTAAGACCAATTTTCCTGGATTAAATATGAGCAATAACAAACAAAGAGTAGAATCAATTCTAAACTGTTCAAGATATTATTTTGTTTCTATTTAAATATTCATTTATGCCATTATGAAATCTTATGTATAGCATATCACGTAAATGAACGAAATCTTATATATACGTATGTATCATCTATATTAAATATCACAATAGTTATATCAATATAGCTATTATATTGGCTTTAAAACTTTCCCACACAAATTTATATGAAAGATGGAAATATATTTTAAAATAAAAAAAAAAGTTTAACTAGAAAAAAGCTTATTTCTTTTACATCAAAGTATTTCCTCATCACAGAGCATAATTATAGCTTCATTTACTCATATAAAATTTCTATTGATTAAAAAAAGTTTTATATCGAAAATAAATTAACTAATTAAATGCCTGATTGCAATAAAAAAAATTATTAAGAATATTTTATTCCCCCTTATTCAACAACTTCATTTAATTGGCTAAATGAAATTTAAGAATTTTAAACGGTTCATACCCGAACATTTTCGTGTATATATCTTTTAATTGTTGTCAATCATTATTGATCTTCCAGTTAATAAATGATTCAGGTTTAATTATATTTTAATGGTCGCAAAAGATTTTTAGCTTAACAATAAAAATATGAATCTCAATTTGTCATGCGAAAAGAGAATGGAAATCCCAACTGCAATCGCTGAATATTTTCAATTCAATTAACGGCACACACACAAACATACACCTACACTTATACAGCCATACACTAACAGTTCAAAAGTCAATATCAATGGTCTACGGGTAATTGGAAATCAATTACGTGCACTTAATTGCAGGACACGCTCATTTGACTGATTTTAATATTGCAACGCGGTTGCAGAAGGACTCGCTCGCCTGCAGTATGTCGGGCACGAAGCCATACATGGCGCCAGAGGTCTTTATGTGCGCACTGGAAGAAGTTGGTAAGTGGTAAAAGTAACACACACACACACACACACAGAGGGTGCAGTAGGGCACAGTGGGTGCCATGGGTGCTCCATCCTGCCGACACGACAAATCAAATTTTAGCCGGTCTTGCAAAAGTGAAAATTAAAAGTAAGAATATTGCAGCTGGGTGTAACGAGCTGCTTAATACTCGCCTTTAGTGTACTCATATTATTAAACGTGTAAGAAAATCATATATGCAAATTAGAAATTAGAATAGATTATTTATGGGTGGGAAAACAGAGTATCTATCGTTGCGATGCCACCAATCAGAGTTTATCAGGGGGAAACATAGCTCATACATCTGATGGTTTGCTTCAGTTGAGTCCCTAAACGAAATCCCTAAATAATATTTTGCAAAGAATATGAATATATATATATATGTATATATACTTGGTGCATTTTCACTTCTCCAATATATGCATATAGTTTTTTAACACATTATATGTGGCGGGTATACCAAGAGCTGATATTCCAATTTTCATACAGGCAAGCGAGCAGCTAACTAAAGTCAATATACATATAACTTGTTAACTTGTTGAATGAGTGACAAAAAAAGGCAAGCTTAATTAAATGTTTCCGGTTCTTTGCTTAATCCAATTTGCAGCCGGATACAGTTACCCGGTGGATTGGTGGTCCCTGGGCGTTGTGGCCTATGAGATGAGGTCGAACACACGACCATTTGTGCTGCACTCGCATACGCCGCTAGTGGAGATTAAGAATATATTGAACAGTGCGGTTCATTATCCGCATTACTGGAGTCACGAATTTATTGATCTGCTGCAAAAGGTGAGTACGCACTCCAGGGAAAATTCAAAGTCTAAATCTAATTTGATTCTGACGTTTCTAGTTGCTCTGCGTACATCCGGGCGCACGGATAAGCACTCAGCAGGAACTGCATCAGACGCCGCTGTTGCGGCATTGGGACTTCCAGCAGGTGTTGCAGAAAAGTATAAAGCCCGCATTCAAGCCGCCCGAGGATCATCTCAACTGCGATCCCTGCCTGGAGCTGGAGGAGATGATTGTCGAGACGCGGCCGCTGCACAAAAAGAAGAAGCGACTGGCCAAACAGCGGTCGGCGCAGCGGGACAGTGATCCGGAATCAACGCTCATCAAGGAGTTCATTGTCTACAATCGCTTCAAGGAGCTTAAGCGCAAGGCCATGGAGCAAAAGGAAAGCGACTGGCAGCGCGAACTGGAGCTGGCCATGGCCAATTCCATTGTCAACAGCCTGGCGCCCATACAGGAGAAGCCCACATCATCGCAAGCCACGCCCACATCAACAGCTAACAACGCCTGTGGGCGATCGCCCAGCTCGCCCTCGGACGGCCAGCCCAAAGAAAGTGATATCATTGAATTTATAGATCGCACACCATCGCCACAGGCGGCACAGGCGACGACCACGTCGCGTAGATTCTGCTGCAAGACGAACACAATACGGGAATAGAGAATGTAGATTTAATCCAATGCACCAACTAGTCCACAGGTTTCACACCTACGCATAGCTAAACACACCTGCAGTCAATCCAGTTACAAAATTTGCATGGAGCTGGCCTGAAACGTTTTCCATATGAATTCGAATAGTTTTAGCAAGACACAAAATAGTCTGTTCAATTAATAGACCAACCAACCAAGGCCAGCCTCATCGCCCGACCCATGTCTGAGCTACCGAAACCTTCTACAAGGATCAAATTAAATATTTTTCGAGCAAGCATTAAGCCATATAAACCATATATAGTAACAATTTGTAACCACAGGAAACAGGAACCGATGCCGATTTGCACCTTTGTATATACAAATACTATATATAAACTATTTTATAAATGTTGCAAGTGCTTCTGTTTTCAACTGTATATACACACATATATATATATATATTATTATCTAATGTATTTCGATATACATTTACACCTATTTTTTAGATGTTAGCCGAAAATCAAAATAAATGGTAATGTCCCCTAAGAATGCGTCTACATATATAATAATGGAAGGGATAATTCAAAAGCTGGGTCAATTCCATTTTTTTGTTTTTTATTTTTATTTCAAGTTATATTTCATTCATGTTTCACATAAGTTTTTGTTTTAATTTGTTTTCTTTGTATAAAAAAGAGTAAATAATTACGGTTTGTATGTATAAATGTTTGCTTTCTGTTGTTGTTGTTGTTGTTTTCACAAATTTCTTGATCTTCATTGTATGTTAAAATATATTTAATTGTATGGGTTGTGTTCGTGTGTATAAATGTATGTTTGGGGCGCAAACACTAACCAAAAAAATTACAATATTTTATTGTTCGTTTTTGTTTTTTGTTGTTTCTTTCAGCAAAAATGCAACATGTTAATAGTTTGTTAATTCAAATGTTTTCAATCCAGTGTTCTTTTTTTTTCTTGTTTTAAATTATTTTTATATATTTTTTTTTTGTATTTTTGCTTTTTTTCTGTAGAATTTACGAATATCAACATTTTATACACAGATCCCTCAGCTTTTTTTCTATGTATTCTCCCCCGAGACAACAGCTCAACTGTTCTCGGGGTCGTATGCAATCAGCCTTTGGCTGGGGATCGTGTGTTAAAGTTCAGAGGAAAATGTTTTTTTTTCGTAAAATATTTAATATATATTTATACATATATATATAATTCTTTTTTTTTTCATTTGAGAAAGGACAAGTTAGTGAAGTAGGATTAATACCTAGCTTGAAATGATGATCCACTTGCAAAATGTAGATCGAGTATTTCATAAATATTATTTATGTTTTTGTTATTATTGTTTTCTTCATTTAACGAATTCTTGTCGTAGTGTTTTTCTTTTAAGCAAAAACAAATGCACTTGTTTAGAAAAAGCGTCAGAGTTTTCGATAAGGAAAAACGAATTATTGCTGTCGCTTAAGTTTTGTTGTGTTAGAAAGAGAGAATGAGAAGAAACTACAAGCTGAACATTGAAAATTATATGAAAGTGTGTGGGTATGAGTTTTCCTTTTTTTTTTGTTTTTTTCTTTTTTTTTTAAGTTTGTATGTATGTTTGTGTGTTTGTATGTGTGTGTATGATGTATGTGTGTTCTTTGCCGGTTCTGGAGCTCAATTCAGTTTGTGTGTTTGCTTTGTTTGTGTTACTTTTGCGTTGTGTCTAAACAAAATGTTACTCTTTTTCGTTGAACTCCACATGTGGCGCTGGCGGCGGACATCCGCCGTGGCCTTTTTGTGGCAGCGCTACCGTATTGGTCATACTATACTGTGGTTGTGTCCACAGACTCAATGCGTGAAGCGCCACCCTCGCCGACATTAGCAGCACTGCCGTCCTCGCCATTCACATTGGCATTACCGCCCTCACCAGCGCTGGTGTTGCCACCAGCATTCTTTTTGGCGCCAAACTTAAGTAGCTCCACATTGACATTGATGGTTTTCGTTTGCATTGGTGCATTCGCGGTCTCGGCTGGTGGCTCTTCGGCTCCCGCGTTCGGTGCTGATTCACCACCGGTGGTGATGGTCAGCGAGAGATCGTTTAGCGACTTGAGCACCTTGTCAACATCATCTTGAGTGCTTGGAGCGCCATTGCGATTTCCAAAGTGCAAGAAACACTTTCCAAAATGACCTGCACATCAAATTGAACAATTTAGCATATTTATTGTCTTGAGAATGTTACCGGTTGTAAACTTACCCTTCCATGTAATCGACAATGGATTACATTCGCGTTTACGCAGCTCTGTCTTCAGATCCTTAACGCGAATGTCGCGTGTCAGGTTTGTCAATTTAACACAGAAATCACGATGCGGACGATTCTTCTTCTTAGGGCGACGTTCACCCGCACCACCCTCATCAAATTTACGATCCTCACTCTTAACACCAACCTCGACTCCAGACTGGTCGCCCTCAGACTGCAACGAACGATATTCTTAGTACTAGATTCCAAAATAAGGAATTAATTATTATTTACCTTGTTTGTGCGTCTGCGACGGTTGATAAAACGACCTTTACGGCGTGGTGTACGCTTCTGCGTATTATCCTGTGTTAAAAAGATATTTGTTTAATAACAATCAATTCAAATTCAATTCAAATTTAGCAAACGTACGCCTTGTTGTTCGTTGTCAGTCTGTGAGGTGGTGCGTCCTGGGTTTCCTCGTTGGAAGCGACGACGCAACGGTCCACGACGGCGTCTACTATTCTGATGCTGCTCAATATCGGTATCCTCCTCCTTCAATGTTATCTTCTTGCCCGATTTCTCCAGCTGCTCCTTAAGTTGCTGCAGCACAGGCAAAATTTTCAAACGACGTTCAGACAACAGTTCCCAGAAAACACCACTTGGACGTGGCAAGCGCTTGGCCACACGTATCACCTCGGTTGGTGTTACAATAATGTCCACTGGTGTATCGTATTTTTGGAACAAGTTAACGGGCAAAGTATCAACAACCTGCACGTCATGCACAATTGTTACAATGGCCGTTTCTGGGGTTATGACGCCCAGCTCAATGAGCAAACCAATGTCCAAATCGGCAAAACCGTTGCCACGTCCAATGCGATAGCCATCACGTGATACGACCACCGAACCAATGACAACCAGATCGAGCTTCAGATTGGTGTCAAGACCAATTTCCGAACGGAATTTTTGTATATCCTGGACACGCAATGCTTCTTTCTTCTGCTCATCGGTGGCGTCGGCCGGCACATCGACTTTAAGGCAAAGCGCGGGCGAGTCGCGAGTGCTGGGCAAATATACGGATTTATTGGCCAGCAAGGACAATTCCTTAAAATCGTGCAAGGCGCGATCAATGTTCACTTTGATGTGCTCTATAAAAACGTATGCACATTATAGAGGATATCTTTTGTCTGGCTATTAGATAAAAAGCATTACTTACGTGCTTTCTTAAACTCCTCCTCCTGAATGAGCAATGCAGCGGCCTTATCGGCATCAACAAACGCAGGAATACGGTTGAAAATGCCATTGAAGCCGATTCCAACTTTGCCCTCCTGGATTTTCTTCCAAGTTTGAACGCGCAGCGAGCGCTTTGTTGGCTCTGCGGGCTGAGCTGTTAATGACATGCCTATACATTAGTTAGCTGTTATCAACAGGTATATAAGATCTTTATAGCCAATATCGGTTACTTTAAATATAGGAATTTCGTTGCTTTTCTCAATATATTTACAAATTATATTCTATATGCATGAATCAACTTTGCGTGCTGCTATCGTTGTTCATGGATGGCGTTCAATAAACACAAACAAACGCGACTGCCGCGCTAGAGAACAGATAGCAGACTAACAGAGAGCACGGAGCACGAACCACAAAGCTGAACGAGCGCCTGTTACATGAATGCAGCAGAAGCAAATCTCGCATTACCGGCACCAAGCGAATTCATTTTGATTTGTCAGCAGTTGTTTTCTTATCGCTGACCCATGATTAAAGCATGTCTGTTATCACATCAGGTTCATGTCGCCCTATACTTCTATGTATGGCTGATAAACCGGTTTTCACGCCCAGTAAAAAGATATTTGCCGCACTTATTCAGTTAGAGTAATAGCTAATGGCAATATGTATAACGAACAAAAAACTTCTAAAAACATTTGCTGTCGTCGCTCCAAAAAAAATAGAAGTAAAATAATGAATTTAAAATAAATACATACCTACATGTATTTATATTAGGACAGTAATTAAAATTGCAAAGAGCAAAGCTAAAATTAAGTGCTTTGTATATGTGTGCGTGTGTGTCCAAAACATTAAAAATATCGATATTGACGTATGACCAATAAGTTGGCAACTCTGCGGCAACGCACACACACGCACTCACTCAGTTCCAAACATACACACATACACTCACACAGCATTTCTCAGCGATGAGCGCATCAAGACGCGCGAATTTTTCAATTAATATGTATGTAAATGTATATGCAAAATGTAGTTCTGTTGCTGCTGCTTCTGTTTCTGCTTGCAGGAAGAGCAAGGGAACAGCAACACACATGCACACGTACATACCCAAACTTGTAGTTCGGCTAACTATGACATTAGCGCGAGAGCAAAAGGAAAGAAAAAAGAAATAGAAAAGAATGTACAACATAGTCATATGGGCCAAGAGCAGCTAGAACGGTTGCCGAAATGATTCATTGCGTACTATTTGGGAGTTTAAAATAGTAATTGCAGCACTTGTAGCATTTTGAGCATAAAATTGCGCGCTCCGGTGACGTAATGAATAGGAGAAAACACACAAAACTATATTCTTGAGCAACAAAATAAAAGCTCATACGAATATATGTAGAAACGTTTATATACATATGTATTTGTGCACTTCCATACATACACATTTGTTAATTGTTGTTCTTTTTGCTGTACTTCTTTCGTTGCTCGTTTTGCTTTCCGTTTTACAGTTTTCTAATAGAGAAATGACAGACAGTATGTCAGCTCGTATTTACCGCTAGAATAGGTAAAAAAAAATTCAAGGAAATATGGCGGCAATTTGACAACTTTTGTCATTCGCTATAAAAAAAATGGCCGTACGAAAAAAAAAAAAAAAATGGGCAGGCAGGGGTGCTCCTCTGCCCTTGTTCCACTTTTTATGTTTATAGGGGCAGACCGCAAAGAACGATATTACAAATATTTGGCCCGGCAAATAAATACTTAAATACATACACATTTATATATCTATACGTACATGCGAATGACTAGGCTCGCAAACAGAAAATTCTATCCCTCACCCCGAAAACTTACTTGTCGATGATACCTCCGCGGCGGCGGCAGCGGCAACGGGAGCTTCGTTGCTTTGATTTTCCATCGTTTTTCGTTTATAAGTTGTGTACTTAAACTGTTCTTTTTGCCTTTTTCTTTTTTTTAACAATTTATTTTTCTTTCACAAGTTTACACAAGTTACAGAGCAACGTCTACCTTCTCCGGCTGCTTCCAACAAACCACGTTTCTCACCCGATGAAATTTCACTATATCGATATTGCAATGTATCGACAATAGCTCTTCTTCACGATGCACGAACGATTGCACTGTTTTTCAGTATATTTTTACAATTATTTCTCGATGTTAGAAAACAAAAACGCGCAATCAAAAATTAATGAAAAAAAAAGAAAATCAAAATTATAACCAGAACAATCAATCACTAACACGTATTGCAATGTTATGAAAAACTGGTGCAAATCCAATTCACCTTATGTTGACAAAAAAGTCAATGATGAAATGTTTGATGTGATTTAAAGTTATGTGAATCGATTTCAGTTTGAAAAGTAAACATATATTTTAAGTTTAATCATACTACCAATGAGATAAGAAATTTTCTGTTAAGAACGAAAATACATGTTTGTATTAACGGGGTGCCAATATCTGGGTATGTAGGAATAATTTGAATAAAAATAGTGAGAACAAAACTACTGGATGGCGGTAAAATGTCGACGAACGTACGATATCGATAGATTTATATACAAAATACTCGATTTACTCGTGGTATTTTTTAATTCTGGTATTTTAGTACAGAAAAAGCAAACAAAACAAACGAAACCGCGAGTAATGAACAGCGTACCGCGTACATTATGTCACAGCTGTTTTTCACACAACGTGGAGCGGTCGGTTGCTCGAATTTATTTTTTTAATTTCTTCAATTAAAAATCAGCCGGTGCTCGCTCGATGCACAACTCGAGGAATTATGCAATTTTCACTGGACTGCTCTGCGCAGCACGCTCAAGGCTCGCCAACGGATCTGCCATTGACAAACGTTCATTTCAGAGAGTTGCAGTGCAGCTGTCGCGTAATAGAAAGCATGAGACGAATGTCTCGGCGCTTTTTAAGCCGGTTCAAGTGCAGGCCAATGTCGATGATGATGATGTYGGCTCCGAGCTGGTGGGAAAACTGGAGAAGTCAGAATTGTTGAAGATTTTAAATAAATTTGCCCAACGCCGCGAAATCAAAGCACTTTGCAGCGAAAATGGACTGGATTGTAAGTAGTAAACGATATTCTTCAAATATTGATCTTTGATCCTAACGCACAGCCTGCCAGCTTATCTGCAGCAGCAGGCCTTCGGCTCATTTCGCCGCTATTGCATCGAGGCTGAAAATCTGCCAGTTGACGTCCATATCACTTTCAGTGATATAATGCAAGGCGCCGGCCATATTGACGACATCTTTCCCTATTTTTTGCGCCATGCCAAGACCATGTTTCCTCATCTTGACTGCATGGATGATTTGAAAAAGATATCAGACTTGCGGCAACCGGCCAATTGGTACCCAAATGCTCGAGCCATAACGCGCAAGATTGTGTTCCATGCCGGACCCACAAACTCTGGAAAAACGTATCATGCGATGGAAAGATATTTGAGTGCCAAGTCAGGTGTCTATTGTGGACCACTTAAGCTGCTCGCTACCGAGGTATACAACAAAGCAAATGAGCGTGGAACACCATGTGATCTTGTTACTGGCGAGGAACGCAAGTTTGGCATTAGCGATACCTCGCCAGCAAACCATGTGGCTTGCACCGTGGAAATGACCTCAGTCAATACGCCTTGTAAGTGCAAGTGATCTGTGACTTATCACTTTTTAACTCCTTGTACTTCACCAGATGAGGTGGCCGTCATTGATGAAATACAACAAATACGCGATCAGCAGCGTGGTTGGGCTTGGACACGCGCCTTTCTGGGTCTCATTGCCGACGAGGTGCACGTCTGCGGTGAAGCGGGCGCACTGGAGTTGCTTGAGAAGATATGTGAGACTACTGGCGAAACGGTCGAGGTGCGTCGATACGATCGCCTCACTGAGCTGACGGTTGAAGATTCGGCTCTGGGTTCTTTGGACAATGTTATGCCTGGAGATTGTATTGTCTGTTTTAGCAAAAATGACATCTATACTGTTTCGCGAGAAATCGAAGCGCGGTAAACGAGTCTTAAATCTTAATCCGATGTATTTCCTTAACTTTTGCACTTCATATCTTTTAGTGGCAAGGAAGTCGCTGTTATCTATGGAGGTTTACCACCTGGTACAAAATTAGCTCAAGCTGCCAAGTTCAATGATCCTTCGAACAGCTGTAAAGTAATGGTGGCCACCGATGCTATAGGCATGGGCTTAAATCTGTAAGGTTAACATTGCTGAGATATTTAAAGATATTTTATTAATGTCCTTTATTGCAGAAGCATTCGTCGCATTATTTTCTACTCGTTGGTTAAACCCACAATGAATGAACGTGGCGAACGTGAGATCGATACGATTTCTGTGTCTTCTGCCCTTCAAATAGCCGGACGTGCTGGTCGATACCGCACCCAATGGGAGCATGGCTATGTGACGGCCTTTAAATCGGAAGATCTGCAAACTCTCCAACGAATACTTAGCCAAACGCCAGAGCCTTTGAAACAAGCTGGCCTTCATCCCACCGCTGATCAAATAGAGCTGTACGCTTACCATTTACCAAATTCGTCGTTGAGTAATCTAATGGATATATTTGTGAATCTCTGTACTGTTGATGATTCCCTTTACTTCATGTGCAATATAGAAGATTTTAAGTTCCTGGCAGAGATGATAAATCACGTACCGCTTCCACTTCGCGCACGTTATGTTTTCTGCTGTGCGCCCATCAATCGCAAGATGCCTTTTGTGTGTTCCATGTTCCTGAAGATAGCACGACAATATAGCCGCAATGAGCCTATTACCTTTGATTTCATTAAAAGAAATTGCGGCTGGCCGTTTAAGCTGCCTAGAACTATATTGGATCTTGTACATTTGGAATCCGTGTTCGATGTCATGGACTTATATTTGTGGTTGAGGTGAGAGGTGGAAATTGATTTGTTTGATTCAGCTCTTTTATGATTACTATTTTCTTGTAGCTATCGTTTTATGGATCTGTTTCCTGAGGCAGCCCATGTGCGGGAGGCCCAAAAAGAACTGGATGAGATTATTCAGCAGGGCGTATTCCAAATAACTCGACTGTTGAAGAACACTGAGGCAGGTGTGGAGAGCGATACCTCGACTTCCCATATGCGGCGCATGACTCACATAAAGGAGCCACGAATTCCCAGCGCATCGCGTGGCCGTCTAACGGAAAGACTCCTTGCACAGGGCCTACTAACCCCAGGCATGCTCAGCGAGCTGCGTAAGGAGTGGGATGCACAACAGCTTGCACAGCCAAATGCAGTAGGCAGCTCTAAGGACCCGCAGGATGGCGCCACCGACAGTGATGATGATGATAGTTATGCGGCAAATACAAAAAATACAAAAACTCGGCGAAAGCGCAAAAAGTAGTAGAAATAGTAGATGGATATATTTTTGTTGTAGGTAACATTGGTCGACATTAGATCGACGTGTCTGTTGTTTATGTTATCAATTTATTTTGTAAGTCACAATTATGTAATATTAAAATTATTATTTTAATAATCAACAATGACAATTTAATTGCTTTAAATTGAAAAATAGAAATTTGTAATCTATTCCAGGAAAATCCAATCACTTCATTCATTGTTTTTCTTGTTCTTTCTTTCTTCTTTTTTAATGGAGGGAGTTACTACAAAGAGTCTGAAGTACTTTACAAATAAACTTCAATTTATTTGCATGACTTTCCACTGATGTATCATAATAATCATAATAATAATAGATTCAAGACATGCACACATAGAAGCTTATTTAATAAATATGTTTTTATAAAAATGACTTGACAAGTTTTAAGTGTGTTTGTTTGTCCATTCCCCCAAACATTGTGTGTCCAAAATTAAATGTATATTTATATATGTGAATRTATACATATATATGTATAGATTAACTTTTTATATCGCAAAGTTTAGTAACAACGAACACATATTCAATTTGAATTTGTGATTATAAAATATTGGACATCAAAAACATACAGATTGTTAAAAAGATACAAATATATATATGTATGTATATATATGTGTATGTAATAAAATATTTAAACTAGCTTTAAGGTTTTAAGGTTTCATGTTCTTGTTTTTGTTTTTTTTTTGTTTGCATATGAGCAATTGTTGTACATAGTTTAATACTTGCTGTGACAATTAAAAAATCAATTTAGTACATACATTCTTTAAAGCTTTCCATTTTCTTGCTATAGTTTAGATAGTTCCATTCCGCTTCAAGCCCGCACAAACCCCTTTGCTATATATAAGTATATAGAATTTGTTAACAACATTAAATGTTGCTTTACATATACAATTATGTGTGCCCCAAGCAACCCGCATATAAATATGATTAAATGTTGCTGGCTTCAAATTTCCAAATTTCTTATCAATATCAACTTCTCTCTCTTTCTCTTTCTCTATCTCTATCTCTCTGACTCTGTTTCATCTTATGTTCGGTTATACAATACATTTTTGTTTGTGCGTATTTATTAAATTTGTATCCATAGGTACGGAAATTTATTTATTCATATAAAAAACTGTAACAATGCGAATGAATTTTCTTGTTGCTTTTGTAATGTGTTATGCGTTGGCTACAATTGTTGTTTTTTGTTTTGTTTTCTTATTAATTTGCAGATTGTTAACCAGAACAGTCTGTAATTGGATAGGATTACGTTTTGATAGTTGTAAATGTTCTGATTAATAATTTGTTAATATTTTGCTTTCGACACTTCCAGATGTTATGAGGCTTGTTTCTTGGCCCTTATTGCATAGCAAAATGTTCTGGCTGAACTGTTTAACAATGCTAAGTAAGGTATTTTATAATTTTTCCATTTTTTGTTGTATTTTGGTATTTTCTATTTATAATAATGTAATAAAAAAAGTGCTAGTCGTGTTAGACCGTCAAAACCTTTGCGGGTAAATATTTGCGTTTGAGTTGCAGAGAAATAGTAATTCCAAAAAATTCACATGCGCTTGACATGTCGCCCCAATGCTTCTTTGTTTTCTTTACATATCGTATTCATTATCACAAACAATTATAAAGTTTAAATTTTTCATCTGTTTTTTTCCCCTTTTTTTCGTTATAGTAACAAGTTATGCTTATGCAGCTGCGTACAAAAATTTTAATATTCTAATTAATTGTTTTTTTTTTTTCTCACACTTTATAATAAAAATGTGTGCTTGCCAAATTTGATTTGTTTTTTTTTTACAAATACTCTTTTGTTGCCCACCCGTGGGCCTTTATCTGGTCTAGCCAGATCTTTCAAAAATTACAATATGTAGTCCTTGGGGGAGCACAAAGTTATTTTTTTTCGATCGATACCAATGGGTTCTCCACATCTTTCCAAAAAAAAGCTCCTTTTTTTAAGTCGAAGGTAACCTTCGAACCTTTCTACACAAAATCCAGCTCCAGGCCGGGCTCAATGTCGACTGCAACCGCATTGTCTGCAGGGAATTGAGCCTCGTCTGACTCCTTACGCGCTTTATCCTTGGACCGGTCCTTGAACGCAGCAAAGCTCAATTTCTTGAGCGCTCTGGTGCTGCGTCCCGTGGACTGGCCCAACTGCTCGAATCAGGAATCCACCAGCACATGCCAACGCGCCAATATCTCACCTTTTGGCATTTCACAAACATCGGCCCAATGCGCACACTCCTCCGGTCCGGATGAGTTTAGTCCGAGGCTAAACCAACCGACCATCTCATTCTTCTTCATATGCCTCTTGGCATACACCGAGATCATCAGCGTCACATCGTTCAGCTGAAACAACGCCACCTGGAACGCAAAGGTCTCCTTGAATAGCGGATTGGGTCCACGTCTTATGGACGTCTTGGCTCTCGAGATCTCCTGGCCAATGCTGCTGACCATGCACAGCTTCACATACGTATCCGGCGCCTTGTTCAGCGTCAGACTGCGAAACTGACTGCCCTTGATGATCTCGACACTGAGGCGACCTGTCACTCCGTTGTAGCTCAGACCCAACAGCAGCTCCGAGACACCGCCATGTTGCATGGAGGATGTGGAGCCGGCACTGTCCGATCGGGCTAGACTCAGCAGATCGCTGGTCGAGCCCAACAGTGACGTTGTGACTCGTGGCTCCAGCGGCAGCCACAGATTTGTCTCCAACTCCAAGTCCACGGTGGCAAAGCTCACATAGGCCTCGCCAATGAGCCGCTCCTTGCGCAACCGCTCACATCCATACAGACGCACACGCAGACCCATGTTGTTGACGTCCTCTGGATTGACACGGTGCAGCAAAAAGCTCTCCATATACTGCGGATTCTCGCCACTGCGTATCTTGGTCTTGTGCTTCTGCTTCTTATTGGGCAGCATCAGCATACGCACCTGAATGGGGAAAGGAAGATACACAACATTTGTTTATATAATAGACTTTCGATGCTCACCTGTGTGTGCGTCTGCTGGCCATTGGGCAAAGGTGGCAGACTTCTCGCCTGCATCACATGCACCGTCATCTTCCTCATTGGCGCATCGTACAGCAGCGACATCTCCAGCTCAATGGGTCCACGCGGAGCTGTGAGCTTTGGATCGCTAACCAGCATATCGTCCGACTTGATCGAACGCAAGTCGCTGGTATCAAAAAGAGGTTCCTGGTGGAAAGAAATGAAGAGAATGAATAATGAAATTATCTAAACAGTTGTAATGTTTTTACAAGTGTTTTCCGAGATATATTTATCAATTAATTATTTTGCTATTTTCATCAAGACCTTATGTTTGACTATGTAAGAGTTCGTATTATTAAAAAAAAAGTTTGATTCAAGTTAAATTTAAGATAATTTATAGCAATCTTATGAATATTAGAACATCCTATAAGCAAGTATCGAATTGCCTAAATAGTTAAAGGGCAGCCATCTGACCCACTCTGAAACGCGAGGGTCGTATTTAATTAAAAAGTTCCTTCTTTTCGTTCACCTAACAAAGCAACAAATACGCATATCATGCTAAGCAACTAACATACGCATTAAAAATTAACATCTCACATCCCCCATGTCAGACTCCCCCCCCCCCCCCCCCCCCCGATATACTCGAACACTTTCTTAACTAGCTCAAAGCATTAATATTATTCTTCATAAATTGTGTTAAAAAGGTTCTTTAAATCGATTTCCTACGCTAAGACTCTAAAGTTATATTTTCTGAAAATTTTGGAAATGATTTAATATTTACATCATCGTTGTTGTTGTTGTTGCTGTTCGTAGCTGTGCTATTGATGGTATTGCTGTTGCTGTTGTTGTTTTGATTGTAGTTATGATTTGTTATGCTGCTATTGTTGTTGTTGTTGTTGTTTAAACTAGTAGTAATTGGCACCACAACCACGCTATCCCTATCCTTTTCGATCTTTTGTGGCAGCACGTCGACTTTATGTTGATATTTTTGTGACTTGGCATAGGAGTGTCTCAGCGCTGACACAGCCGGCACAGCTGCAAAGGTAACAAGTATTATACATTATATAGCCAATATCCTTGTCGATTAGCGTCACTTCTTTTACCTCTGCTGTCGGCTGTCAAAATGCCCGTTTGACTGTCGACAGATGCCTCGATGGAATCATTGGAGCTGCACTCGCTATGGGATGACGGTATGCCGACCTTGCCCCGTTCAGCAATGGCCAAAGGGTCACGTGTCACTGTCACCCTCTGCAGGTCAGCCTGATGATAATTGAAACTGTGGCCAGTCAACGGATTCCGTTGATCGATGCCCATGCCATAGCCTACAAATTTGCCATTCGGCAATATATTATTGTTCTGCTGATGCCAGCGCAGGCGTCGCAGCATATCCTCCTCCGAATCGGAGCTGGTGTTCTCATAGCGACGTTTGCGTGCTAAGTGCGAATAATAATTTGATAATCAAATAAGTATGCGCAGTGAGTCAGCGAGTCTACTTACTAATCTTCTGCACGCATTTGGCTGCCAAGTGTCGCTCGTCACAGCAGTTGATGCCATGGCGATGATGAAAGCAGCATCTGCGACTTATATATAAGAAGAGCAACAAAAGTAGCACCAAGACACCAAAGAATGCACCCAATAAGGTTGTGACCTCAACAGTACCTGCAATAGATTTTTATTTTATATGTAATCATTGAAATTGAGTCAAGTGAATCAGGAGTGCCATAGACGGGAATGTTCGACTGGAAGATACCCTGACCCTTACGCAGCGTATGCGTTCATTCCGAAGGACAAACAGAGATCACTGGACCGTCTTGAACTTGAATATATACATATACTTTATAGGGGCTGTCACGCCTGCTTCCCCGAATAAGACAAATATAATACCAATATTATAGGGCGAATTAATGTGGTGAGAATTCGTTGTAGAGTATCCTTACTCGCAGAGATCTACATATTTGTGGTTTTTAATCGACTAGAAACATAAATGAATAAACTATCTGTTAGACTAAAAGCTCGTATGCAACCTAATATAAGAAATATTCATTAGTAATTAATATCATATTAATTAATAATATGGAAGGCAATTCCATTCTCTTTATACATATGAAAGTCTTGCTAATAGGTATTAAATGAAAGAGGAAAAAGGGCAGCCCTGCCATTGACCACCGTTCAAACACAGTCAACGGGAAACCCCATATTTGAGTCAAACAAATATGTACTACACCTCCAAGTCATTAGGTTTAACTTTGTTGTTCACCGGCTAATCATTAATCAAATGGACACATTAATCCTGTTAAATGTTTTATGAAAGCTTTTCTAGCCAAGTTCAACGAACACATATTCGAAATTTTCCACAACTAATTGTAAGACAACAAACCATTCGACCTATCCCACCATACCCCACTCAGTTGGTCATTCAGTAAACAAATGAAAATTGACATTGACAAAACGTACCCAATGTAACAGTGCTATCCACACCAGATGTAACAATCATGTTGGTTGTTCATGCGTAGAATTGTGTTTTGGTTTTTTTTTATATATTTTAAATATTGCTTTAGTCGGAAATTATATGCCTATGTTTTTTTTTTGTTTTGATTACTATTGAACTATATTACAAAAGCTCCACATATGACAGCACGCAGTGAAGCACGGTAAAAATTCAATCGATTTTTCACAGGATAATGATTTTTTTTTTGACCGAGAATCCGAATTGCGATTGAGTCGAACAAATTATATTCTTTTTTTTTATACTAAGAATATTAATACACTTTTCAAAGCCTTTATTTATTTGATACAATCTAATTACACAGTAAAAAATTAATTTTTTTTGAAAAATTGAAATCAATTTTTTTTATTAAATTTTTGTTTTTAAAATATTCAACATTTTGTTGCACGTCCTTTTTTTTCTGTAGCTAGTTTATTAATAATTATGCACTGGCTGTTCGAGCACTTTTTTTTTTTTTTACTTGAAGAGCAGCAAATAAAAGTAAAAGGATTTCAAAGCTTTTTTTTACATCCTGTGTGTGTACAAGTAACAGTGAAAGCTGCAGCTTGACAAATGTCATGCCAAAACAACTGTTGCTTTGTTACGAATCAGATGTGATTATGTAAATGAACAATTTACGTTTGCTATTTTTTTTTAAATATACTTATTAATATTAAATACAAATTATTTAAAAATTATTTAAATATAAATTATTTTCTTAATTGATATTTTATAAATTTGAATTTGAGCTTAGTTTTCTTTCTTATCGATGTTAATACAGCAGAAGCTATCGATAGATGGGGACCATCTCTAAATCGATAGGATAACGTGTGTGTTACATTTCGTATGTGTCCAACTAAAACGCGATTTAAACCATGAAAAAATGGCAAAGAATAAATCAACGGTGTATTTAGGCTATGAAGATGAGGAAATTACAGCCAAGCAAGCTGCCTTCCTCAATAGCTGTACAAATAAAATAGGTGGCACTCCAGTAAGTACATGAGATGGTCGATTTTTCAAGTCCTGTGACAGGACTCATCCCAAGTATTTTAACGACAGTCAATGTTCTATGTAATTAGCGATGTATCTGTGTTATGACACACAAAACATACATACATCTATCTAATACCATAGAGCACTTGACTTCATTAGTCGAATGGGAGAAGTTGTCGTGAGGCAAGTCCTTGTGTGCTGTAACAGCTAAGTAAAAATCTATATACACACATACATTCAAACACACAATCAATCAATTGCTTAGAGATAGTATATAATTAAAATTGATTTTTTCCAATAGAATTGGCCGAGACATGAAGTGACTGTGCCCGTGTGTCCGCTTTGTGGCATGGTGCGTCCTTTGATCGTCCAAATGTATGCGCCTCTGGACCGCTCGCAGTTTCATCGCAATCTGTATGTGTTTGCCTGTGTGAGCCCGGCCTGCTCGCAAAATCAGAAGAGTTGGGTGTGCGTGCGCACCCAGCATCTCGATAATCAGTTTGATGTCATAACCGAGCAATCACCCAAGTTGGTCAACAAGCAGAACAAGAAGAAGAACAAGTCAAGTGCCTTGCCCAAGGTGAATTGGTGTAGCGGCGCAGATGACTGGGGCTGGGGCGAGCCAGAAATCGTGGATGAGGCTATGGATCAGACGGCCGATGACGAGCAGAACGAACGAAATGGCAATGTGAGGCCAATTGGTTTGCAATATGAGAAGCCCGACGAGGACTTCGAGATCTCAGGAACAGTGGCCCACGACGTCGCAACGAAGCTGGGCGATGATGACGATGACGATGAAAGTACCTCGGCTGAGAATGATTTGGTCTGTGGCTTTGGGCAAATCGATATGAATTCGCCAGAGAAAGCTGGTGAGGATCCGAATGCCAATTGCGCGGCTGCAGTATTGCCAACGGCAAGTGCGGATGGAGCTGGGGCAGGTGGAGGTGCTACGGCAATGATATGCGCTGAAATCGAGGGTCCTGAAACGGATGTTGTGCTCGTCGATACACCCAAGAAACCGGAGCGGGATCTGATTGCATTGCTAAAGCACACCTCGTTGCCGGCCACGCTGGGCCCGTTGTCCCAGATCAAGGACCTAACCCTAAAGTCAATTTACATTGCCGTGGATGTTGAGACAAACGCAAAGCAAGAGGAGTACGATAACTATGGTGGCTCGCTTGCAATGGATCACATTCGCGATTTATATCAAGAGTACAAGCTGCAGGATGAGAATCCAGCGCGTTCGCCAGTCGCCGGCGGCAGCGAGGCGTGTGATGAGCAGGAGGCGTACGAAAAAGCGCTACCTGCCCATGGGGATGTGGTGTTTCACAATTTTATCACAACCATACAGAAAAATCCAGGACAGTTGTTGAGGTATTTATGAAATATTTGAATTGAATTTGTACTTTTATTGAATCAAATCTCTTGCAGATATTCGCGTGATGCTCATCCGTTGCTGGCGGCACCGTTGAACGAGCCGCTGCCAAAGTGTCAAAACTGCAAAGGCGAAACCATATGCGAGGTGCAGTTGTTGCCAACATTGATCCCAAAGCTGCGATTTCAGCAGAACTCCTGCAACGCCCCAATCGAGTATGGCAATGTGTTAGTTTTTACTTGCTTGAAGAGCTGCTGGGATACGCCCGATCAGATGCGGTACGAGCACGTCGTGGTTCAGTCCGAAACTTAGATCAACAACTCCAGTTGAAGAAAAGATCAATTTATTTCAATTGCTAATTGCATTAGCTTAGAGAATGAAAAGCTAAGCTTTTTCACTTATCCTAGGATGATTTTATGCTCTAGTTGTTAAGAACGTTGTACGCTTTTAGAGAGCAAATGCCGAATAATCGCATAGTTGCTAACGACTCGTTATTTCCACTCACACTAAAAACTTTTAATTAGAGAAACGCTATGCAATTTGTTTTATTTACACAAAATCAAAGTTATGAAAGCGGCGCATCGGCATCCAGATGATAGCTCTTCACGGCGGAGAACCATAACGGCGGATACTTGGCGGCTGTTAAATCGAATTCAGAGCTTTGCTCCACCTTGTTCCTTTGCTGCACCAAGGTATAGTTGGACCAGACCAGTTGGGCAAACCGTCGCTTGGGCGAGTTCATGATGCGCAGCTCAATTACATATTGCGTGTTAGAGCTGTCGTCGTCCCCGGGCATCACACTACCACGGCGATGTCGCTGAGTCGTGGTCCTAGCGAGCTGCTGTGTCTTCTGTAGTATCAGCGTGACGGTGCTACCAAAGAGCCTATAACGACCGCGCAGCACATCGGGGCGTACATGATAGAGCTGCTTTAGCTTGTTTACACCCTGCGCTGGCTCATCCGCACTTGTCATCATAAGCACCTTTCCATCGGGCAGAAAACGGATATAGCGATAGTATTCGACTAGCTGCAACGGCCTGTAGAACTGATCCTGAAAGCTGTTTTCGCCCATGCGCAAGTAGGTGGTTTTGCTGATGTAGCAACCATTGAATAGGACACGCTCACGCCTTATAAACATATCCCGCCAGGACTCGTAGCATGCACCACCGTCCTTGGCATCCAAGGTGCCCACATTGTGGCCCCACACTCTGTGAGATTGAAAGATTACGTCAGCTCTTGCTACAAATACATATATAACATTCCGTTACTCACTTGACGCAGGCCAAACGCCAAAGCTCCTCGTCTCTTCCATAAACATAGAAACCTTTGCATACAGCCGAAAACTGTTCCAAGGAACGCATATCCAGCTGGGAGGACACCACCCAACGTAAAATATTCATTATGATCTCAGGCGGCAGATCGGAAATGTGCATTCTATTGCCCGTTGTTAAAACACTTGAATCGCGGCTGTTTAGGACGATTTTGCCTCCGTAGATTTCTTCACAGCAAAGGTCACGCAGGAACTTCTCGTACAAGCCATCAATCGGCTCCACATCTTTAGCATCTGCATCGGCCAAATCTAGTTGCTTAGCAAAATCCCCGGGTAGGTTATGATATTTTTTGTTGGCATCAACCATCAATTTTTGCTGCTCGTAAAACTTAAACTCAATATCAGGTACCATTTGGGTGGCTTTGCGGTAGTAGGCTAGAGCATCGTACACTTTGCCTCGCTGTTCCAACTCCACGGCTGTCCGATAGAGCGTCTCAGCCCTGGCTTGTGCCTCAATGTCACGAATGCCGGATGGCTGTTCGTTAGCCTGCGAAGATTCGGTTTGTCCATGGCCATGAAGCTCGCGTTGCCAGTTTACACGGAATTCATCGAGCTCACGGCTTTGGTAACCGGAAGAATCCTCCGGCTCGGACATTTCCGACATTGAGTTGTCTGTGGTGAAATGCGTTTATTAGTAATGGTGCCATATCTTATCTAACGCAAATTCTAACCTGTAATTACTTTTTTTTTTCTAGTAAAGTGTTCGCTCTAGCTCTATATCCAGTTCCATGTAAAAATCAAAAGCGGTAGACACTATTATGAACGGTCGGGCGTATTGTTGATAACGGCCGCACGCTTGTTTACCCATGGATTTTAAAGTGGCTTTCCGCTGCATGGACAATTTATCAGGCAGTCGAATTGTTTGGCACAGAAGCCCCACTAGGTGAATATTTTTAGTAAATATTTTGCTGCGCAATGTTTTTCTTTTAAAACTATCGATTACTCTTCTACAATGGGTACATCAACCCGATAGCCACATGTAATGCATATGTACACTTGATCGTACAATATGGTACCATTTATAGAATTTAATACTAAGAGATATTAAAACTTTAGATAATGAAAGAGCAATTCAAAAATTGTATACCACAAACTTATGTAGTACATATATATAGAAAGTCTACTCTACTATTTATAGTTTCATATTCATATACCAAAATATACATTATTTGGTACAATTTTTTAATTGCTTTTGAACACTGAAATATCGAGGTATCGATATACTCTGCGGCAGCTCGTGTTCATGTGGCCGGTCAGTTTGTTTATACTTTGGTGGTTCGTTTTTAATAAAAGCTAAATGAGTTTGTTGAACTGAATTAATATGTCTGCCGACTACGCGCACCTGTGCTCATCTCTACTAGAGCAATGCTTTGGCAAAGTGGTGCAGGCCGTGGCGGATTGCCTCTTCTCAGCCACCACGCGCACATTGTCGCAAATTGTAAGCAGCACGAAATTCGCTCGAAAGGAAGTGGTGCTCGCTCTGGCGGTGCTAATCAAATTTCGTCTGGTCAACTTTGAACCATCCAAGAACAATCCATTTCTGGCCGAGTATGCGCTGAGGCGGGAAGATGTGATATGCCTGCTTCGATATTCCCGGTCA